ATTGAACTGGGTTAACCACAACACACCAGCCTCACCTTGGTCATGAAGCGGTCTGAGTTGGTGTTCTCCTCATCCTTGAAGACAATGTCAGGGTTGTAGTTGCACACCAGCTCATTGAAGCGCTCAGAGTTGCGTGTGATCTTGCCCTCTGCTCTCCCGCTGGCACCGAGGTTGTTTTCTGAGAAGTTGGGGAAAAACTGCTTGTAGTGCATGGCTGTGAGTTTCCTGGTCCTGGAGCGGATGCCATAGCCAGGGCCCGGTCCGCATCCCTGGACCAGCCACATGCAGGTCCACACAACAAGCAGGCCGAGCTGTGCCAGGCGGGCCCACCAGGACTGCTTCATTGGGGAGGGCTGGGGCTCCCAGGAGTCAGTGGCTCACCGTGCCTACAGTGGTACCCCGGTTCCAGGTGTGTAGCGGCATGTGAATGAGGGTTGAATCTTGGTCCATTCCAAATCATGTGGTATTAGAGCTGATTGTCATAAAAAAAAAATGTTTTTAAATTACTATTTAAGAACTTCTTCTTTCTGTATTCACTCTTGATAATTATTATAGTTTTATATTACAAATCAGTTGTTTTGACAATAGGTTTGCGCTGCCTTGATGACTAAAAGTGAGGCTATAGCCTAATTAATGATGATTGGCTGAAATCTAAAGTTTCTGAACTTTGGCACCAGCTACTAAAACAAGTGACACACTACGTCTTTAAGGTTCCTCTCCAAATATTTCGCCATCTCTCAGCTGCTTCTATGCCTCTTGTGAGCTGAAAGTCATCTTCACAGTCTACCTGTCTCGGCGCAGGTGTTTTTCTTGGTTTTCCCGTCACTTACCGCTAATCTCTCTCCCCGCAGTTCCTTTGACGAGACACACAAACTGACGCACACCAAAAGCTCCACGGCTCCCTGTAATTCCCTATGGAAGCTCCCGTGGCGCTCTCATCCTCCTTGTCCATCCAGAAATGTCTCCCCTGAGATTTCTTTCTTCTTCTCTCCTTCGTCCACCGTCTTCTGTCGCGTTTCAGAGCTCCTGGCCACCTTGCACCAGCCATTGGGTCTTATTAGCGTCCGGACAAGATTGCCCTCCCTTCCTCTGCGCGCTCCCACTGCGACAGCGCACGCCTCCAATTCAACCTTACAAAGGACATATGATTAGCCTACTCATGTTAACCAAATTCCCCCCCACACACACACCCCCCCCATTAAGTATTTAAGTTTAGTTAAAGACAGTTTTGGAAACGTTTCCACATCAAACTGCAAAGTTAAATAACTGATAGGCTACTTAACAAAGCACCCTAATTATCTTGCCACATTATATTTTAGAGCACATACGGTATATTTACAGTTAAAATACTAAACTCATTTGAATAACAACATGCCCTTGCTTCTGTCAGCTCATCCCGCCCATCAAAAGTGGATGGGTCAACTGTGATGACCCTGTGCTGATGTTATTAATAGACACAGTTGAAGGTGAGGGTCTATGAGGGAACACACGTGTCCAGCCTTGACACCCCTGACTCAGACTTACAGTGCTGTCTTCCTGTGTTTGGGGAGCCGGCCTGACCCCCCTGAACCCTTTGCACCCAAGACCTCTCCACTGGAAACACCCGCTGGCCACATCAACATATTATTTTTATCCTTCTCAGAACAATAGCTGGGAGTCATAAAAATGTGTCAGATAATTTCCAAAGAGGGAGCAGAAAAGAAAGGCATCATTGTATCTCAGGGGTCTGACATCTGTAATCACACACGGAAGCTTAAATTAATGGCGGATTCAAAGGTCGAAGTTTGTTACCATCCTATCTGTAGCTTCCTGGAACACTTGAGGACTTCATGATTCGTGATCAGTTTCCTGACAGTGACTTTGTTTTAAAGAATCTTTCGCCCACTCACAACAGAGCTGCTGCGTACTGGATGTTTATACAAATAGTTTTATGCAAGTGCATATCTTGGTTTGATGTGATTGCATTCTAAAGATGGTTCAAAATCAAATCACTAGTGAGACACTTTTTTCTAACGAGAACAGAGAAATTCTTATCGAGAAAGAACCTGTGAATTTCCCATTCTGCGCCTGATCTAAAACAGCACTTACAATTAGTTATTGTGTAATGAAGAAGCGTAGGTCACTGAGCTCCAGAGTGACCATGGAAAAGCATCCTTGTTAGGGAAGTTTCCAGAAGATCCCAGGATGTTGTAGGGAGGGGTGGCAAGGCAAAGCAGCATCTTCCTGTCCTTATGATAAACATGGAAGAAGGCTCAAATCTGGCCCAAGCAACACAGATGAGAGATATCAGCCTTCATGACAAATGCAGGGAATCACTCAATCAAAAACAAAGCAACAAACACTTTCACATCTGCAATTAACCACGCAGATGTTTCTCTTCAAAGCCGTGCAAGAGACGAGATTTCCATCTGACATAAAAGGGAAAGGAAGGAAGCAAACATCTGCAGGTTGGAGATGGAAATAAAGTCATTCTTATTAGCTTTTATTTTGGTACCCCCATCCTCCTGCCTCCCCCTGCCTCCTTCTGGCTCTTAGCGGTTCACTCCCCCATTTCAGGATGGGAGTACATGGACGGGTGAATGGTTGGGTTTCCTGCAAAGCCACAGCGCAGACAGCGAGATCTTTCCTGCCTGGGTTAGCCTACCCTGCTTTGTTCTTTCCAAATGGACGCCTATGTTAGCACCTGCTCATGGTCAATAAAGCACACATCTTTTTCTTCTTCTGTGGAGTTTTCAGTAACTGACTAGAGCACTAATAATGGCAAATAAAGGACATCTACAAATGCAGCCAAGGATCATATAGGGATTGCAAAGCTCTTATTTATTAGGATGCAATCATTTTAAAACAGTAATTAGGTTTTGGAGCAATGTTGGCTTTAACATCTCAAGTGTTTGTCTTGTCTCTTGGCGATGAATAGACACTCTGTAGGATGCACTTCCTCAGATGGAGGCCGTTAGCAGGCTGGGGTGGGGGGGGGAAGGAAAGTCAGGGAACCGACACCTAACCACCTCCCTCCCCTCTCCACACGCACACACGTCCTTTCCCTCTGACCACCACTACACCGCCCCTTCCACTGTCTCTCACCATGTTATCAGTGCAGGAAGAGGCAGGGTGGTGCATTCTGATGTGGCTGCACACACTGGATGATTCTCGACTTATGTATTGTAACCTTTTTGTTTGTAGTTACTCGCCATGCTTCACCTTTAAAAACATACCTATCACTGCATGTGTCATATGATAGGTGCACCGCACACAGTGGTGTGTGCGCCAAGTCCAGGTTTCAAGTTGCTTTGCCTCGGTATGGCCTTTTCAAAAGAGCACCAGTGAGTTGAGGTTGAGGCGATGCTGCACCGAAGTGGACAATAGACTGAGAAGGGTGGAACTTCCTGGCCCCAGACAAGCAGGTCAAAGGTCAAAAAAGATAAACATTGTATAGATTAAATACTTTACACTTCAAGACTCTTTTGAATTGACGTATGCAATATGTAATATGTGATATTACGTTTCTCTCTAAAAATCAACTTCACGCCATTCACCCAAAGATATCTCACGAAACAAAGGCCTGCAGCAGTCAACTGTGTGAAGCAAGTGTGCCGTGAGTGTGCACGCAGGATGGCGGGCAGATATGGCAAACGGACAGTGTGACCCATTATCAGTTGATTAGCGGGCAAGTCTCGCCTTTTCCTGTGAGTGGTTGGGCATTTGCGAGCGCACAAACGAGGGAATAACAGCCCTTAATGCGCTCTGGCACAAACTTCAAATGGCCGACTGTCAGGAAAGCTAATCTGTGTCTTTCTCCCCCCCCCCCCTTCATTCTTATGTTTTGACAATAAAGATAGCATATCTCATCCCATTACAAGCTGCCCGTCTCCCGCCTTGCCTCTGATATACCCGACATCCAGTCCAATAGAGTGTGTTACCCAATGGGACTGCTGGGACACTTTGATTGCACTGCTATCGACCTTTGTATTTTGCTGAAGGGAGAGGTGCTATCCTAGTGTTTCCCCAACTCAATCCAAGGTTAAGGGATATGTAGACATGCTCTGTGTTGCGTTCAGTTTTCTGTAGTTGTCTAATAAACCCCAAAAACATGTTCACTATTCCCTCAAAATCTAAAAGTGTGGTGTCCAGACAGAATAACTTAAGAAATTGAGTTAGTCTGTCAGGGTTTTCTGAAATTATATATATTTATATTTATATACCCTCTGAATCATGACCTCTTTACCTTGCCTGTGACAGCATCGCCCTGGGTTCGTTTGAACTTTAATCACATTGAAAAACTCTGGCCCTGCACTAAGCTCGTTCACTCTACCATATATAAATATATATACACACACACACCATATCTGGTTTATATGTCACTTCCTTAGAGGGTAACTAGTCTCCAGATGTGCAAGTAATGTTACGGCGACATTTTAGTTCATTTCCTTTTAGCAAAGGAAACGCAGTGCAAAACAAAACCTAATTCAAATAAGCTTAATTAAAACATCCAACAAAACAAAACAAGAAATGCAAACAAAAATCAGGAGGGAGAAATTAATCAGAGACGGGGTTTTCTTGAAACCGACTGTAGAAAAATTAGAAAAGGAAATGAACAATGGGCAAGGAAAAGGAATGGAAGAAAGGAGGTAGATGGAGGCGGGGGTGTAAAAGAGTGAATGTGAGTGGACGTCGCTTCTCCTGATTTGCAAGGTTTTTATCTGGCAGTTGCATCAGAGTGGGGAAAGCGTGGGCAACGGCTGTAGTGGCGTCGCGGCGGGACAATGCTGACAGACAGGCCAAAATATGCCTTTCTTCTGCTGCTGATTAAAGAAGTGCAACAAAAGGGTGGGGGGGGGGGGGGGGGGGCAGAGGACAGACGCCCTCACCAGTCACATCCACCCATCAGATCAGTTAAAAAAGTAGTTACAGTTCATAAAATGTAACAAACACATAATGGCATCAAAGAGAGTTCACAGTAAAAGTCGCCTTGATGTCTATCCAAAAGGACACAAAGAAGCTAAAAACACAAGATGATTTTATTGCTTTCTGCTCATAAAACAGTGATGGTTAGAAAATCTGTTCAGAAAATCTCAAACATCAGAGCATTTCAAAAGTAAACAAACATTTTTAATCTTTGAGAACTCAAGATTTTTGTCTCAACTGAATCACATTCAACATTTTAACAAAGTTAAAAATCCTAAGAGTCAACATATGAAGTATAGATCCCAAAATGCCCAAATGCCCATAAATACAGTATACAGTACATCATAAACTCTGTGTTCCCAAAAACCAACAGAAAATTCCCAGAAAAAGTAAAATGAGTAAACCTCAGAGTGCATTATATATATATACATATATATATATACTGCATATAATACCTAAGGGGAGAGAGAGATGCTGGTGTTGGGTTTGAGAGACACTGTCCCCTGCTGGTCAAACCAACAGCTAATAACCTGCTGATACAGCAGCAAAGGCAAACGGTGACACAGGGTCACCAACACATTGCAAATGATGAGATATAGCTGATAAACATCACAGAATTTATGAAAATACAAAAACTGACACCAGGAAGATTGCACGGCTTGATGGTCACATTCGCTTCTTGAAACTATTCTAAGCTTCAAAGATGATTGAGATGAGAAAAATACTTCACAGAAGATTAAAATAAACCATGCAGAAGATTTAGAAATTACTTTTGGTAATGTTAAAAAGTGTGCGTTTACTTATAAAATATTGCACTTTCCCCGCATATATTCTTAATAATTCACAGTTTGATTGGTCAAAGGCAAATGGTCCTCCTAGTGAGCGTCACATGGCATTCAAAAGGTTGCACGTGTAAAGCTTTCTTTTTAGCGTTTTTTCGTAAATGAATGAGTAATCCTCAGACTGTCATCTACAAAAGTAAAAACCCTGCTTAATGGTAAATCACCAAAGAAAACGTTCTTCATTCTACTATTAAACTGGATTTGTAAAAGTGTTCCAACACTGAGATTATTACCTCACTCGCATATTCCCTGTGTAACCTGCAGATCCATAGATAGACATGGTACTCTGTGTCCCATTTGCTCCCAATAAAAATTCCCTCTCATTAACGTCCATAACACTGGTGCAGACTGGACCACCAAACACATGGAAGTAAGATTCCCAATCTTAAAATAGTGGAACAACTGAAGAGGGTAAAGCGTGGGGAAGCCACAGAAAGAGAGTGCACTCAGTCGACCTGGAGCAGGAAGAGGAAATTACGTCACAGTTCCAATGAAATATTTCAAAATAGCTCTGCTGACTTTCACATGCATCAACTGAACGGCTATCGACTAGATCCTCTTTTCATGAGGCATCGGGTTTTGTGGGAGGACTGCTCTCTTATTGTCCACTATGGCAGGACTGCCAATACGGCTTATATCCCTTTTCCCCTTGTTCCAGTTGTAACCATCACTCAGCTAACCGCTTGCATACTTGTCCCTGCACTCAAAGACCTGCACAAAAATTGGACCCTGATACATTGGTCATTAAAGCTTCAAGCAGAGCTCTCACTGGACACGGTGCAGACAGACCCGTCAACTTCTCTGGTCTCTTCACACGGGGCGACGTGAACCAAGTAGCAACTGGCAAAGTGTCTGCATTGCAAATGTCTTTAATCCAATAGGTGCACATTTGAAGTGACTCAGTTTCTAAAGGTTAGGAGAGGCAGTGGCGAGGCGGAAAAGTCACTGGATTTTTGACAGTCCACTGGCCAGGAGGAGTCTGAAGGGGACGGTGGAGCGGGACACCGTCAAAGGCAGTCTGTGGAGACCTGCATACAAAGAAAAAGAATAAGGACAATACCGTCACACACAATCACAAGGCGGAGCACTTTAACTTGCAAAGCTAAGAAAAATAGTGATCTAGGTGAAATGAAAGTCTATTAATCACAGAACAAAAGTGAGTTGGGAGGCAATGGGAAAGTGCAGGAGAGCTGCCATGGTGCAGAGATGCTATCTGTACTGTGAGGAAGGGGACTGTGTGTGTGCGTTTGGCGTGTCCATGCTCCGAGTGCTTGTTTGTGTTGGGTGGAGTGTGTGTGTGTGTGCTACGAGGGGTCTAGGGCGGTATGCCTGAAGGTCCCCAAGGGGACCCGACTCTCCTCTTGTCCCTTTACACTTTCCTGAAAGAATTGTGTCCTTTCTATCTGAGGAAGAGAGACCAACCCAGAGGGAAATGGGGCCAAAGGTGGGAAAACTACCGGCTACACAAGTGCAATGAATTTCAGTACAACACAATCCCAAATACACATTGCTTCAAAAACTTAAAGTGGACTGACCAAAGGCACGGATGAGCTCTCTCTGTACAGCCCAGGTGACTGTCTTGATCAGGGAGGCGGAGGTGAGACCAGCAAACAGCATGTTGTACAGGAAGACGATGTAGAAGTTCCCCAGCCAGTTATACCGACCAAAGTCTCCCAGTAGATCGAAGCGCGTGATCCCTAACACAACGCAAAAGAAACCAAAGAAAAGGTTTTACTCCTGAAGTAACTGCTCAAGCCAGGCCTCACCTGCAGCTACAGCATTAACGGCATACAGATGCCCTCTTGTGGGCATTACTAAAACTACAAGCCACTCTCGTCATAACACACTGCTGTGCGACATACTAAATGTGCACTTTAATGCATGTGGTATAGACCACTTGTCAACGTATAGTCCTCTCTTAGACATTATATGCAGTTACTGTACAAATCTATGCAGCTTCAAAAAGAAAGAGCAGTTTGAATTTTTAATCCACTGTGAACACACCACATACTCAAAATCTGGTAAGAATCAGTACGAAGTATGGAGTTGGGAGTTGGCTGCAGTCTTTGATAGATATTGCATTTGTCATTCATGCCATGTTCTTACCAAGTGTGCGTGAAAACACCGGCAGTGCTGAGCTCAGAATAAGCAGTGAAACACAGTTTGCAATTATCTGAAAAGAAAAGAAACATTTTAACATACTATGCAGAGTTAACACAGAACATCAATGGTTTCTGGTTATACATCACTGCAAGTTAAGATTAATGCAGAGGTTGTATACCTGTGTGAGGTGGGTGTCCTGTGCACGAGGCAGGAGGCCAGTAAAGAGAGGAGAACTATAGAAACCCACCACTGAGGACACCATCAGATAGCTGAAATAAATGTTAAGGGCAACACTAGAAGACTAATATACACACAGAGACAGACAATAAAACACTTCTCTAGGACAGTCTGTGAGTGGCTGAGTCAGAGCCCAATGCGCGTGCACACACACACACACACACACACACACACACACACACACGGCATTGAAAGGATACAGGATGAGGACTACTTGAACTGCTGCGCCCAGTGAGCCAAACATGGAGAAGGAGGCCATCCCAAGGTGAGGGTCCTAAAACAAAATGACAATCAACAGTGTACACAGATGGCTGGCTGTGGCACACCAAGCATTAAATGTGCACCATTTCAAATCCTCACCTCCATTCCTCTGGGCATAGCCGTCTCATCCAGGAGCAACTCCAACACATTGAAACAGACCATCAGGACACACATCACCTGCAGACACAGGAACAGTAATTATGCTGCAATTAAAACCACCATCCGTGTTAGTAAATGAGAGAATACATCAGTACATAAGCATGTACCGTCAGAGCGAGGAGCACCAGCATGGCCAGTGGATAGCCCAGGTTTCGCTGCCACGGGGACGCTTTCCGCCGCATTTCTATGAGGAAAGCAAGAAGAATATGAAAAGAAAAGGAATATTAAATGAGTGTACAGCAACAGATGACTATTCAATGTGACCACTGTGAGAGAAAGCCAGCAGAGAGCAGCCTGTTTAGTCAACCTTACCCAGGGCAATGCGCTTGCTCTGGACTGTTAGGTAATCTTTCTTCATCGCCTCCACGCTCAGCCTGACCCAGCACGACGTCGTACCGCCACCTTCAATCAGACGACAACACATGACGCAAACAAAAAGTCAGCTTTAAATGTAATCATCAGAAGATGGAAAAGGACTGGGTTGGTGGCGACACACTCACTGTTCAGTTTCCTGGAGAGCGAGTCTTCCTCAAATGCGGTGCAGCTCAACGTATCTTCTACATCTTCCAACAGCTGAGGGGGATAAGAGACATCAGTCAATGCAGCTCACAGGCACAAGACAACTGTGGGAAGTGTCGTCACTGGGTCTGTGACTCACCCGCGGTTTGACCAAAAGACTGCCGGTTACACTGAACATCCGGGACAATCCAAAGGGAGTGCACACTGTGGAGGGAAACACACAGATGGTGATAGGCCAGTGTCATATGCTATAGAATATAGTCTAGTATATAGTCACGCTCAGGTAATTGTGAATGACGTATACTTACGCAAAAGCAGCAACACTCCAAACAGAGAGATGCCCGAGTACAGATAAGGAAGGTAATACTCCCACAGGTCTTAAATTCAGAGAAGAGTAGAAGCAAACATATTAAAAACTAATTGTGAAACCAATTGTTGCGGAGGGATCTTCAGGTACAATGGATGTGACTCACCATAGAGGCTCTTCCTTGCCATGTTGTCGTGGAGGAGGGCCGATGCAACCCAAACAATGCCCAGCACAAGCAGAGCGAGCAGCAGCAGCAGCACAACCGCTTCATACACTCGTGCCATCACGCCCTACAGAAAGAAAACAGACACGCACTGTGATACGCTGTCAGTTTACACATGTTGACTAAATGGCATTTTTGACGGAGGGCCAAAACTGGTACCTTTCTGGATCCCGCAAATCCCTCAGACTCGGTAAAGAAGTAGGCAAAGGGCATGAGGAAGACCAGAGACACATTGGAAAAAAGAAACACTAGGTTCCACAATCCTGACAAGAGAGGAAGAGAGATGTTCAGAATGTTAGTGTTCAGTGCAAACGTTCACCGGGGATACAATACCAGCTAAACATTACAGCAGCACCACTGTGAGGTGTAGTCCTACCAGGCAGTGTAGCATGACCACCCAGTCACATGTGCTAATTAACAACAACGTGCAACAAAAAAAAAAAAAAAGTGAAAAGCAGAGGAAATCAGAATCAGAATGATTCTCACATGAAACAACAATACAGGCCTGGTTTACTTTTGGGATCATAACCTATTACTCTACAGCTCAGTTGCTCAATTGAATATATATTGTTGTTAGTTTGGAGTTGGAGGGCTGCAGGTGGAACATGCACTGCACACAGCAAGGTCACAGCCACTCTGTACATAGCAATTATCTGCTTGCACACAGGCCCGTAGTGTATTGATCTGGAGGTTATTACCAGTGACCCAGTTTCAGACAGTAACGCCTTCTGCTGTTTGACACCTCACGATTATCCACGGTTTGGTGATGTCAACTTATAAAAACATTAAGATGTACCGTGGATAAGAGAGCCATTGAGCCACTGCATGTAGTAGCTCTGTGGGAAGGTGAGCAGCACTTCATTGGACAGAATGGAGATGGGGAGAAGGAGCACGGCACACACTGCAACCGACAGGGTGAACGTACACAGCCACAGCCTGGGACAAGGAAATAAACAAGACATCAGTGAAGTCACACAGCATCATACTAACAGCATAGCCGAGGTGTAGAGACTAGTGTGGCTCAGGTAATACAGTGCCAGCGTGTAGGGACAAAGGGCGACGTGACACTGAAGTGCCCTCACCCCAGCCGACACACACACACACACACACACACACACACACACACACACACACACACGACGGGGCAATAAAGCTACAGCCAAATGGCCTCCGGCCACTGTACATGTCACGCTGTCAAAGGTATCCGCTCAATCATTCACAAAGACACTAATCATAGTGAGCGAGGGAGAACAGATTGCACTGAATCTGTTAATTATTAGAGGTATTCACTTACGCAATTTTGTTGACGGTGGCATCTTCAATATCATCTGAAAATATGACAAAAGGGATTCAGACAGTTTCAGACAAACATCGATATTTCAACAAGGACAAGTTGCCACAGACGTAGCCAACTAATTTGCTATAACTTTGTCACTGACAAAGGCTTAAATGCAGGTTAATCCTAATGCAATCAAAATAAGATAAGATAAAATATTATCACAACAAGTCTGAGTTGGTAAAAGCTGTCTGGGCAGTGTGTTGCTACACATGCTACACATCTGTAAGACCATACTGTGTGAATGGCTGTACTTTGTTTCGTAATGTGCACCACAGTACATGAAACTGTGTTTTTTTCGTATGCAAATGTTCTCTAATAATGAAGTAAAGCCAGTTCTTAGCTCTCTAAAGCCAGTTGAGAGGTATTGCACAATCTGCATTTAGCTGCAGGGCACACCTGTTCTGCTGTTGTTGAGGCACAGACAACGTTGACAACGGTAGTTAATACAAACCAAAGAGAGCTGGCCATTTCCCAGGCTCCAGCCCAGTCACAGCGGAACAGAGAGGCCTGGCTACATCTGCCTTCAATAGTGGCAACTTACTTGATTTATTATGGAACTGGCGACCCAGTCTTCCTGCAGAACTTTAAACATCTTCTTAGTTTTAATGATAGATTTTAGATTCAAGTACATGACATTTGTTGCACTTGGGCAAAAGCTTGTCAGATACAAAGTTGTTAACTATCAACATGAACAGAGCGATGACAGATTAAACCAGTTTCATTTGTTGTACAGTATAAGACAGTTAAAAAAAAAAGATCTCCTTTGAGATGCATTTGTCGAGGGGCCGTAAGCTACAACTTAGAAGTACAACCCTGTATTTCTTGTAACCGCATTCTCCACCGCCCCTCCACCACCCTGAACCACAGGGAAACCCTCTAAACTGTGCTTACAGGTTACACAAACGCACCTTCTGCACCTCTGGACTGCTCCAGCCAAGGTTCAGAGCCTTGGGTTGAAATCTGCAATCCTCGAAGTGTTTTAACTTAAGCTACCGTATATTTACATGCAAGCAAACGGCTATTATTCATAGTTTTAAGTGATTATACTCTAATGAAAACATTTTATATTCCTTTTTCTGCCAGTAAATCCCACTAAGAATCCTTTAAGAACATGTTGAGTGAGGTCTGTGAACTAGGAGATATTCATTTGATTGTTTGTCTGAGCTTCGTCTAGCTTCAAGATGAATCTTCAAGTAAGGCTAGAATGAGACCCTGTTTCCTCCTCCATCCACAGACTATTTCCTTAAAACAGAAATGTGGGGTTTAATTAACACCTGTGCTTAGTGTTGGCCTATGTACTATGTGGAGAAAACCCCAAAACACCAATATAATCAATATACTGGTCAACACCATCCCCTCCCAGCAGTTCTCCATAAGGACTGAAGGAAATCTTCCTCACAGAGCAGTCTTTGTGCGATACACCTGTTCACACCCAGGGCGAGAGTGATTATACAACTCACCTGTGACAAACTCGGCATTCTTCTTGAAGTGGGTAAGTATGAGGTAGGACACCATGTAGAGGCATGTGAACAGGAGCACACAGATCTGCAGAGGAGACGGAACATGATGTTATTTATTTGACTTGTTTACACAGCTAATCGCATAAATGAAGAGCAGCCTTGTAAACAAGCCGTCATGTTCTGTCCAATCCTACGGATGAGCAACACAATTATTTAGGTTGGCTCATATCTCCGATTTAGTATATTCTGATACGTCTTAAAAGCGGGGGTGGGTACATAGCAAAGATACCAAAAACATCCGGAAGAGATAGAGAAGGCACAGGGAGAGGAGAGGAGATGGCAAGCATGCAACAGACTTTTTCCTCATAGAATGTTCTGTTTTCTTTTGTGCAGATAAAATGCAAGAAATGCAATAAAACACAATAAGAAACAGCCAAAAACATTCACCATTCTGCCAAGGTCAAGAGAGACAGATGGAGTCTGAAGATTAGCACTCTAGTCCAACGAAGAGTGAAATGAATGAGAGTGATGAACGAGGAGGGATTAACACCAGCGACAGATAGCCCCCATACTGCTCATAAATCATGGTCTGACGTTACACTTAATCTACCACCAAATTTAGGCTAAACCTATATTCACTAGGCAATCTGTTGTCTGGCAAAGCTCTCAACAGTTCACCGCAAAGACTGAAGTAAATCGCTTGTATGACCAACACGCAAAACACGAGAGAACCGTTCATTTAATGAAACAAAAACACATAATAGCGAAGATTTATCTCCGCATCTTCAAGATGACCTCTAGTTCTACACTTCATGCAACACAGTGGACAGACTGTAAACACCTAGGCATTGTTCAGACACACTGAAATAAATACTTCTCAACTGTGAACCTGCCAGGACACAAAAAAAAAAAAAAAAAAAAAAAAAAAAAAAATGTTGCCGTTGTCACAGCAAACAAATTGACGCCAAACACACCTGAGCACTATGCCAAACTTGTGGTACCAGAATGAGAGTATCCAATGAAAGCTGAGCGATAGAGGGTGCAGTCACTCCTCTCTGCCGCTGAGTATCGATCGCCTAACTTACATTTTTAACAGAATACCAAACAAGAATATAAGTCTATGATCATGCGTGCCGCCCCACAGGTCTGTAGTGCTCATTTCAAAACCAGAAAACAAAGATAAAAATGAGAGAAACAACTTTAGTATTCTACCGCCTATTGGACAATTCTACCGCCTATTGGACAATTCTACCGCCTATTGGACAATTCTACCGCCTATTGGACAATTCTACCGCCTATTGGACAATTCTCTCTCTCTCTCTCTCTCTCTCTCTCTCTCTCGTTGGACTGACAGATCAATGAAAGGATGTTGCCAGATCACAAAACATTTCCACATGGTGGCACAGGGAGCACAGTAAGGTCAGCAGGATGTACAAGTTACAACAGCAGCAGCAAACAGAGAGCGCACAAATCTCTGGAGAATGACACAACTGTGACATAATTACAATATAATCAGTTTCTTAAATAAATGTTCTTTGGAAGAACAAAGAGCCTAGAAATTAATAATATTTAAGAATCAGGTTTCCATTAAAGTAACGTTGCAAAAGTATAGTCGAATACATTTACTGTGAACAATAAAGGGCCACGTCAACACTATTCATCGGGAGACAAAGTGCATTTATATCAGTGTTTCTATTATTCTGAATCCACAACAAAAGATTATTTTAAATGAGTCATTGGAACATATGGTGGGGTACGGGCATACGCCCCTCCTTCCTGTATGGCTCCAGGAAGTGCAAGACGTTGACCCACTTTACAATGTAAACAAAAGCCTCCTGCATACGACTAGAAAACAATTCAACTTAAACTTTCATCTGTAGAGAACCGGATTGTACTGTGTAAGTGGGAATGATCATCGGAAACACACTAGCTGCATCACACAAACGACAATGGACTGCACATAACTAATCAGCTCAGTCTGCGTCATTGTTCAATGACGCAGTCTAATGTGCTATGGTTAATCCAACAAAAGGAAAGGCAGGAAACAAAGGATGGGTTTTTGGGGTAAGAAATAGGCAGCGGGTGTAGAATAACACCCTGAACACCGTGCTGAACGGCAATGTAGAGAGCTGGCAACACAGAGCAGGCCGCTGAGAAGAGAGTTTGAAGGAATTTAGCTTCCAGAGGAACATCTTTGTGCTCAACACAAAGCCCCGGTGCTCAGAGCATTTTAAGATTCACAGAGTAACCTAAACATCTTTGTGCCGAGTCAAGCGAAAAACAAAGAGGCTCAACTGCTTCTGTAAATATTCAAAAAAGGAACAGGAGGTTATTTCAGGGGCACGGCACCCAGCCTCTTGTCCAGCGAAACACTTTCAAGCAAAGCATGACGGCATTTGTTTAAGCAAGAGGATAGATTAGGAGAGACCTACTCAAGATTTATTATAAACAGCCAGAAATAACTTTAAATGTTGCAGGGGAAAGAAGACGGTGGGCAGCTGCAGCATGTTGCGTCAGGTGTTTTGATCAGTTTACTGGAATGTGTCATGAAACATTTGATAGTTTAAGGTTTCAGAGAAGCAACAACTGAAATTCCACTTCAGTAATATAGTCCGTGAGAATAGAAAATATTAAATCAACAGTGGCGTTGTGCTGTGATGCGACGAAACCATTATACAGCCTCCTAAAAAGTTAAAGTAAGTACGTAAGATGGAGATTTGGTCCAACGCTCACACAAAATGACAGATCATTAATCTCTGGTTTCTAAGTAATACACATCTGGAGTGGACAATACATTTTCTAATTACTCTTCACCGTGTCTTTTAAAGATGATAAGCTACTTTTCTCATGCTGATCTTTATATCTTATGCGTTCTGATGCCGGGTGTTGCTACTTATCTTTCCTTTACTTTTTTCTGCCAGTCAAAGCACAACATTGCTCCAACAACATATCCCACAGAGCACTATGATTACATAAACGAGTCCGTCTCCTCAGCACTGACAGATCACTGCAGGGGCCCCTCTGGCCTTTGCAATGTACGTCCTGTGACTCTGCAGCAGGATCCACAAAGGTGTTATATAGGCCACAAGACTAGAAGAATTAATCCATTACACACATTATTTTAATATCCAAAGTGTTTCTCTAGTCCGATTGGTTTCTGGAAGCTTAGACACAACAAGAGAAGCGTGTGAGCAGATTAGTAATCACTGATACCGTCTTTTATTATTATACAAATGGAACAGTGACATTTTAAAACGCATGATTTGCCGACATGTTTTTGGGGTGTCCAGGAACATTTCCCATGACTTTATAAGATGATTAATTATAGACTCAAATATTTTATTAACCTTAAAGTTGAAGCATGTTCTCCTTTTTGGTGTGACCTGCACACATTAGACTAGATTTTAATGAAACAACCCTCCATGTCTCTCCCTCCATTGGATGCTTTGGTATGTGAAATACTACCACTGTATACTACCGCCACGTGTTCCTTTTAAAATGAGCTGACCAATAATAAGCTCGGCCCAGAGCCATTGATAACAAGAGATGCAGGGGCGGCTGACCGGCCTGACGGGGAGCACTGAGCAGAGATGGTAAGCTGGAGGCCAGCCAGTGGCTTAAGAGGGCCGCATCGACTAAATAGCATTAGGTCTTTAGGTGAAAGGGACAATGACAAAACACAAGGGCATAACAATACATATGGCCACTTCATTGTTGCTCATGTAAAGAAAATAAGTCTGCTAAAGGAGCACTAGTTGACATGGGTCAGTCTAGACTAGAGGATGTGATCAGCAGACTGATCTAAGTCACTACTAACTTTAATTTGGAAATATCCTTGAATATCACTTGGAAAAAAAACCCTCTTAATTTGACTCTTGCTTTGGATGTTTTTACACTTTAAAGCAATTTCACAACCGAAACGTTGACTTGCCACAGCATGGAAAGCACAGGTGTAACTGATGACCAACGATGGCTCACTTCCATTAACTGCCCAATACAAAATCAGAGCCCTGACACTGGGACACCTAAATATAATGCTGTCATTATTGATGTAATTAGTTACACCTGTGGTTTTGCTGCTATGACATAATTTATTCTGTTCTATCTATTTGCTGTTGTAATGACTCAATCTCCCTAAGGAGCATTCATTTTTACATTACATAGTTCATCTGTAAATGTACACAAAGTCTGCTCATCTTCTTCTACAGTACGAGTACAAACTGAGCTTTTTCTTATCTAGTTGAGCAAAACCAGGACAAATTGATAAAGTCAACCACTGAAAAGTTGTTTGACGTCCCTTACGCAACACTGTATCAGCAATATTGCCAATATCAGGAAACAAACTGATTGGACTTTTTTTGGGGGTCAAAGGCCAGTATCCATGTGCCTTGCTGTAACTACATTGATCTTTCTGGCAAGTCTGACTGAAGTTCAACTGAGTCAGCCACTGGCAAACAAACAGTATCGTTTACAGTATGGTCAAACTGTAAAAACGTGAAGAAGGGTGATCCGAGCCATGGCAGACAGATACGGGTTTGAGAAGAGGTCCAGGTCGTTATTAAAACCACGAAGGAAGACCTCCTGGATGCTAAGCATGCTTCTTGATGTCAGGCTACCTCATGATCAGCTGCACCCGTGTAAAAAACAACGCATGTAACGTTGCAAAAGTTCAGCCGACTGCCGGAACACTCATTGTTACATATACTTTTGCTAATTGCTGAAATGTGAGATTTTTAACAACTTAAATTGGAAAGTTGCGCAACAGTTAACGTTATACGCGAAACAAATAAAACAAACGACGTGGCTCTCTTGTGGCTGCTTGTATTGTCCGAGGCATCTCCTCACATGCACACTAAATATATAATATAATAATATGCATACTAACCCCACGGTCGCATTATCACATTGTTACTTACTATGGTCTCCCGTACGCGGTTGTGGAAAAGTTGCTCTCGAACCGACACGTCGTCCGTTTCCATTCTCCGAAACCATAACAGTAACCTCCGGCTTGAAAGAGCTGGAGGGTAGAGGGGGATGGTTAAAAAGTTAAAACACGGCGCATCTTGTTAGTAATGCCATGGAGGACGTGTGGCCAGCTGCATGTAAACCGCTGAGCTAGCCTGCTGCTAGCTGTAGACTTCGCTCTGTGATTAAAGACCAACAAGGAGGGGGTCGTTCAGGGGGGCGGGGCCTAACAGGAGGGAGGAACCCCCGAGAGCTCTGCAGGTAGCTGTCAATCACCACGAGTAATCTGCGAATTAATACTTCAGCGTCATCATCACATTGTTCACATGTTATTAATACCAAAAGGTGTGTTTGTGTGTGAGTGTGTACGTAGTTAACATAACAGAGACGCGTTACTATGTTCATTGATACACTTTGAAATGGGCACATGTTGGCCTTCTTGTAGCCTAATAGAGAGTTAATACACGAATAAAAGAGCTTTTTCTAACTTGTTCTTGACATGTTCTGCTTATGTGCAGAACAGTATAGTAAGCACAGGCCTGTAGGCAACATAATGTGTAATTATGAGGTGCTTAGCCTACTTTACTCGTACTCTACTCCACTACATTTGAGAGGGAGTTATTTTAGCTTTCATGCCACTACATTAATATGACAGAAATAATAAATATTTACTTTACACATTAAGATTTTAAATCCATAATGGCATTTAAAATATGATGCACACTTGAAGAGTAAATTAAATAACCTAACAGCTCTTAAAATGAGCTCCATGACTACCAGATTAAATGCTGTTTATACGTTCATGCATCAGTAAGAATAATTCAACATTATAATATTATGTTAACACTGACACAGGCCATTCTGTCTGCACAAACAAGTACACTTTAATCACAATACTCATGTACTTTTAAGTAAAATGTAGAGTTTTTACTAAAGTAATATTTTTACATATCACCTAAATACTTTGTCCAACCCTTGTATTAACATCATTTTCAAGGAATACGTTTAAGATATTCTTAATGATAATTTTTGTCATTGTTGTTGCACATGTAAATTTAGTATAAGTTTTAAATTTGTGTTTATTGCTCTTACTCTGTGTAGCTTTGTGTTTGCCATGCATTATTCTTTAAGATGTTTACAGACGACTTAAGGCATTCTTTAAAGCATATAAATCAGTGCCTTATCTCTCACAAATGTCCCTTCCTCATCTTACCAGTTCAGATGTTTAAACTAAATGTCGATGAAGCCGCAGCGTAATTTGATTGTCATGATCCAAAGTCCAACTGTTGCAACAACACGCAACAATTTCAACTACGGAAAGGAAAGGAAAGGATTTATCGGGATGAGGATTTAAAATGGGCTCAGTGAGTAACCTTACTTTTATTAGTTAAAAAAGAAAAGGTCTTACATGTATTAAAAGTATAACAAGTTAAAACACTGAACAGTCAGTCTGCTTTAGCTGTTAGATTAGCTATGGATTGTCCTATAGAGAAATGTTGGGAACTACCAGCTCAATTTCGGACTTTTTGTCCAACATGTGATATGTTTTCTCTCAAAAAGCACACGTAATAACATCGACAGTTACAGCCTGCTATGTTTTGGATTGACTTAAAATGACAATACAAGCTAGGATAAATCCCTCTTACATAATATATTATTAAACCAGGGAAGTGGATCGCAGAGATTAAAAATCCCTTTGCCAAGACGCAGCAGCACACATAGAGAAAACATGCCAAAATGTATAAAACTGACTTGGATTTAAAATATGTTGTGTGATCAAAAGCATGATGTAAAATTGGTAAAAAATAAAAATAAAAGAACGAGAGACGTTAAGACTAAACTCTTCTGTTACTTAATTGCAGGTACTCATGAGGGATGACTAATTCACCTGAACAGGGAGCACTGAGGCAGAGCCATGGTTAAAAGTGTCATGGTAGCCTATGCCTTGTGGGCAGTCGCTGGGCCTTTGGGCCTTCACCATTTATATTTAGGAAGAGACAACCATGCTCTGTTATGGATGCTAACTCTGGGAGGATTTGGGTTTGGCTGGGCCAGAGAGGTCCTACGTATTCCTGCATATGTCGGTGAGGCCAATCGAGATGCAGAGGAGAGAAAAGCACCTCCCACCGTGGGGCCTCCACCTGTAGGCCCTGTCAGATTTGTTGGACAGGTGTGCGTTGGGATCTACTTTGGCACAGTGGCTCTGATTGCACTGAACTACCTCAGTTTTTTCTACTTGATCATCCTGCCTTTATGTGTGGGTGCAGGGGTGCATCTGGTGTCCTGTATTGGCCAGCAGACTTCTGATCTACAAAAAACATTGACTACTTGTCTCATAACCTCACCAATATTCTATGGCAGCAGCTTATCGCCTCTCCCTATAAGCCTGGCTGCCAGTGTCACTGCTGCGCAGTACCGCAGGGTCAAAGCTCCACGGACACCTGGCTGCACACCGGAACTAGGTAAGATGATCTCACAAATATAACAATACCATCTGACTTTGTGGCGGTCTGTAGGTTTGGACCCAAACGCAGACACAGACAAAGGGAGTAAAACAAAGTGAAAGGTTTATTGCAGGGATATAGAGGGTGATGTGAATGACAAGAGGTTGAGATGGAGCAGCGGAGAGCAGACAGAGCCGGGTGTGAGCGTGGCAGGTTGGGGGAATGAGCTGGCGAGGCAGGCAGACTGGGGAACCAGAGAGGATGATCCTGGAGAGACAGGGTGAGTACAGGCAAGAATGAACTCAGAATTCATAATTGCTGAGCGGCCAAGCACGACTAACTACCACTGTGGTTGCAATAACGATCTGGCAATGAGTAGATGGAAAGTTGGGGTAGATATAATGCTGTGTGCCCACACCACACACACACACACAGAGACAGACAGGGGAAAAACAAGAGACACAGGGGAGGAGGGAAACACAGAGGGAAACACAGGGGGAAACAGGAGGCCCGGCCTGGCCGTGACAGACTGCCTTATACATCATGATAACACTGCTTCTCTCTAAATCTCCAAGGCTCACTGAAAATCCATTTATTTCTGTCTTTTATCCAGGTCCAAGGCTTTGCAGGCTCGGTCTAGCCTGGCTGGCCTTCTCTGCTCCACTAGGTTACTGTATTTTCCACAACACCACAGCCACAATGTATTACCTGTCTGACTGTGTATCAGCACTGCTGGATTTTTTCTGGTTCCTGCCTTGGCTCAAAAATGTGTTTGAGTACATTCTTTTAATGCCGTATCGGCTCTTGTGTGTTCTTACTGGAGGGGGTTACTATGATGACGCTTGGAAGAAGGTGCTGGAAATACTGCTCAAAGAGTATACCGAGAAAGAAAAAGAGGCACTGAAGGTGAGCAAGCTCATAACTGGAAAGGCTATATAAGTGACAGGTTAGGGTAGTTTTACCTCAAGGTGTTAACTGTGCATCAGTCTGAACAGTCATTTCTCTGGCATTGTCATAGCCTTCACACTGTTTATCAGGATATATTTGTGTTGCAGGTATTTTCATTGGATGCAGAGGCCTCTCTTGAAGACATAACTCACAGCTATAGGGGGCTGGCCAAGACATGGCATCCAGACCACAACCCCAGCAAGGAAGCTGAGGCCATGTTCATCAAGATCCATGAGGCTTATGAGGTCCTTCTACAACGGCACAAACCTCGTCGATTCACATAGTTGCGCTTCATTCCTCTGGCCTGAATAGTCGCGAGGGAACAGTGAGACCCCTGATGGCATTTTTATTATTGTTCATGGAACATAAATCAAGAGCATGCACAGAGACTCACGCAGCATCTCACAGCTGTCTGATTGGTTACTTCACAGAGGTGGTCACCAACAGTCCGTTGCTGCCACCTTGTGGTGCTATAGGTGTATTTTCACCTTCAACTATTTGATCACAGCAATTTTGGTTATTTACTGTGTGTTTGCTTGCTTGCTTTTAAACCCTTAATTAAAAACACCGAGTACATATCTTATTATTTCACAACATAATTACTGAAATTAATTATTAAAGTATGTAATAATCATGTAATAAAGGTAGACGCAAATGTATGATATTACCCGCCTCCTCCATTCTCCAGCATTTCCGGAAGAGGCCTTGATCATAAACAGACACGTGTCTGAACTCTCAATAAATAATTGTACTAAATGTAGCAGGCGTGCTATACTGGCCACCTTAAAGCTAGTATTTCTTCAAACATATATCAATGCGCAGCAGCATATACCAGTGTTGTGTATATTAGTTCTTCTTCTGGCGTACGTTTCATCACATTTCTACCACCTGTGACCGGAGCTGACACGCATCGATGCATTCGACAATCATTGAATCAGGAGTTCTGTTGTACAGTTATTCGGTCTGTATCCCAGCATGGGCCCGGAAGTTGTTTGGGATTCCCAGGTAAAAAAAAAAAAAAAAAAAAAAAAAAAATCCCGGAGATGCTGTCGTCGCCTGGGAAAACAAACAGCCATCCAGACAATTAAAAAAGGAAAACACCGATCGGTCGCCAGGTAAGGAGGAGGCTTGCGGACTTCACCGCGGCTCTCGGTAAGACCATCCGTCGGTTTTAATGTGAAGTAACGGCATGTTTTTGAGGAGTTGGTGGTGAATGCCATTTGTCGTGTGGTCGGGTGCCATAGCAACGGCTCATGAGAAACATTGTGAGGACAGTTTGACGTGCTCCATGTCGGATGACAGCAGCGTTCATGCGGACAATTTAGACTGGGGCAACTCCTGCAACACATTGCCCGTGTGTGTCTCGCCACTGTCTCGAACCGTCCATGAGCCGACTGGTGTCATAACAGACCAAATCCACCGAGCAGCTATAGAACAAGTAGCCGCGCGTACACGGAGGAGAAGCATGGTAGTTATTTGTAAAATGTAACGCAATATGTTTTACTGCACAATCCAGAGAGGATTGTTAGGCAAGGGTCGGTGCTGGTGCGCGTCCCCCCCCCCCTTTCTATTTTTTATTTTTTTTTAATAGCCGTGCCCTGGTGTGACTGGCGCGTCTCCCGGCTGCATCAGCGCCTGTTGCTCCCCATGCACGGCCAATGCCAGGATATTAATTTCCCCTGCGCTTCGTTGTCTCCGCCCCCCTGCTCGCTCCATAGTCTCCTCTGTCCATTGTTGTTGCCATCCATTTGAGCAAAAGGTGCAGCATTGTACATCTGGCTATTTTTGTCTCTTTCTCTCTCTCTTTTTTTTTCCTTCCAACATTAAATAAAATAGAGCCTCACCTTGAGTCTGGTCACATAAAATCAACATGTTCTCTGTCTGGAAATCTTGTTGGAAATAGGGGTATAGTCTCCATACTTGTTCAGAAAAAATGAGAAGGAACATATAATAAAATAACGTCAGCAAGTCAATATAACCCCTGAATCTCAAAACAATCTCATATGTATGTATATGTATACATAGGTACATATATATATATATATATATATATATATATATGTATATATAGGCTACAGTAGCTACGGTATATATGGCCTACATATGCAGTCTGGTTAGGGTTAGGTATACTGTACTATAGCTTTCTAACTTCAAAAAATCTGTATATAGTATATATCTGTATTATTTTGCTCTGTACCTCTCTGGCCGTCTTCTTGTGCTGCTCAAATGCTAAATCTTATCTTAATATTTAATTTCGTTGAGCTTACGTCATTAGTGTAAGGTGTTCCAGTTACTTTGTCCACCCCCAGTAGTTTCAACTCCTCCTCCAGTCATTAGCTTTCTATAAATGTCAAGCCTCTCATAGGAGGGCAGAAAGTTTACTAAATTAGTTTTTTACAGTGAACTGACGATGAGACACTGACAAGCCATCTGTTTTCCTATTCTTGTAACAACAAACAGCGGGTAAGGATATTGTATGTGGTTAGTAACAAAGATATTATATGCAATTTTCGTGTGACTGAGATTTGGAAAATTGGATCTTCTCAAAAATAATAAATGGAAGAAGTTACATTGACAATGTTTTTTTAAATCATATTTCTGTAGGCATCTGGTGAGAGAATGAATGCTGATGACTGCAATGGATGCTCATATGCACAAGGTAAGTTTATATATATATAAGGGATAAACTATATACATGTGTGTGTATAGTCTCCAAACTTGAACGCTTACTTTAATAACATGGGCCTATTTGTTTCTCAGGTAATGGAGGAGAGTCATCAACGGAACATGATTTTTATAGCGGGTTGCAGGGCCCTTCGGCAAGATCCCCAAACAGTCAGCAGTCCTCACCACACCGCTCCCTTAGTGGTCAGTTATTATTCCTTTGTTTTAATGTTGCCATATGGACACATGGCAGAAATTCTTCATTAACATTATGTATTTCCCCCTCACCCTCTCTCCACACAGCGAACTCCATCAAGGTTGAGCTGTGCAGCGATGATGAGTCACCAGGTGCTCCACAGCCAGACAACAGAGAGGCTGTGAGCGACGATGGCAGGAGGGATGACAGAGGGGACCCCATGGAGGAAGGGAGCACAGAGTACGCTGGGGCCGGAAGAGACAGAGGGAGCCTTTATAACGAGATGGCCAGTCCAAACTCTGCTTCGCCAGGACCTCTCCGCCTGCCCAATGGGAAGCTCCAGTGTGAGGTGTGCGGCATGATCTGCATCGGGCCCAATGTGCTGATGGTGCACAAGCGTAGCCACACAGGTGGGAACAAGCCAGCAAGGCAGTGACAGAATATTACCCTAAATGTCATTAAATAAAGGCAATACTTGAAATGATTACTTCTAAAATGCTCTGTCCATCCATGTGTTCATAGGCGAGAGGCCGTTCCAGTGTAACCAGTGTGGAGCTTCGTTCACCCAGAAAGGGAACTTATTGCGGCACATCAAGTTGCATTCGGGAGAGAAGCCTTTCAAATGTCCCGTTTGCAACTACGCTTGTCGCCGGAGAGATGCCCTGGCTGGACATCTACGCACACATGCAGGTAAATAAGTGAGCTTTAAGTGCAATACAACAGTACCTAACACATCAAACATAGGCCATGAAGAGATTTTTCATAAATGTACCTAATCAGTTATTGAACATGATGAATGCAGTTGCTCCATAACATTATTCCTTATTGTGATGAGGTATAATGCATTAAACAACGGTAAGCGGTAGAAGTGGGGATTCATTAGAACGGCCCCCTTCTGTGAAGCTCAGAGGAAATAGGTAGACCAGAATGTACTGTAAAACACATGACAAAATATGACATTTAACATTTTGTGAAAAACAGGAAACCCTGCTGGCACTTTCAACAGTAGGTCTTGATGGATCTCCACGGGTCGCAGAGGTTCATTTTCGAAGAAAGGATTCTTGCAATTTTTGATTTCAGCGAATTGATGTCAGTCTTGCTGACGGCTTATTAAGAAGAAGCGCTGCGGTAAAGGGTTAGGCGTTTTCTGTCGTCATTGCCGAGCAATATAGAACAATATCAGGAATCGATGGGGAAATCCATTCTCTCAAACCTAGCCAATAATAAGTTGAAAAATCCCCTTTCCAAAAATATTTTAATAAGCAACACCACTGTAGTCGTTTACACAATATTTATCAGCGGATTACATTTGATCAACAGTATCCATCGTCTCGGGTGAAATTTTGTCCATCTATCAGTTCTGTATTTTTTCTCTGAATTGCAGCTTCTTCTCCAACGGTGGGAAAACCTTTCAAGTGCAGCTACTGTAGTCGCAGCTATAAACAACAGAGCACACTGGAGGAACATCTAGAGCGCTGCCACAGTTATTTGAAGAGTCTGGACCAGACAGCAGCCATTGCACAGACAGCACAGGGTAACATATCACACCACACGAAAAAGTTTCTTCATGATTGTAAATGCAAATAGATTGAATAAAGCAAGTTAAACATATTCACACACATGATGAGTTAGTTAGTGTATTGATGACGAGGAGCCTTTTGTTTGCAGGTGAAGAGTCGGTAAATATGGAGACAATTACAAAACCTTCGCTCCAGCCAGCCAATGAAAAAATCCAGCTTGTGGATAGACTGGCTATGAGCATCACCAAGCGCAAGAGATCAACACCACAGAAGTTTTTGGGTTAGTTCATTTTAATAAGACAATCCATGTTATTCATATTTAGTAAGAGTTTAGAAATATATGTATAACCTTTTACAAATACATGTTGTATTTTTTAAATTAAAATTACACAATGTTATATCTTTAGCTTGAAAAAGCACAGAATTAATAAGAGTTTGATCTTTGTCGAATATTATCAGCTGTCCTGCAGTGCAGTCAGTCAAGAGTCAACTTGCCGTTACCAGTTTGGAGACACCTGGTCCATGTTGCTCCATGAAAATGGAGAAGTAAATCTTAATCATTGCATCACTGATATTCCTTTTTATAGGTGAAAAGCACATACACCTCGCCCTACCTGAAGCACCTTACGAATTGTCCTCTGGCTCTGAGAAGGAGGCGGACCTCACGAGCTCTCGGCCTGCTGGGGACTCTGCTGGGTTGGCCAGTCCACGTCTCCAAGGCAGCAGGGGTAAAAGGGAGAACCATGAGCCGCCTGCACTGTCTCAGCTCCATCCTGCCTTCCTGACGGAGATACGCACGGTTATCGGCTCCGTCAACAGCAACTTGACTCCTCAGGGCCTCCGAGCCCATGGTGGCAGCGGGCTGGCAGCAGTGACCCTTGGCCTGGCAGGGCAGCAGGCAGGTGAAGGCCGCGATGACCAGCGCCCAGCCCGTAGACACATCACCTCGCCCAACGGCTGCCCCGACTCTACAGACGCAGAGAGCACAGCAGAAGAGCAGAGCACAAGGGCTACAGCCCCGACAAATACCTCCAACAACCACCACCTCCACTACCAAACCCCAGCACTGCCCCGCAGCCATTCCACTTCCAGCCCCAGGCAGGCCAAAGACTTGGACCCAGAGTGGGAGAGAGCGTGTCCTGTGCCCACCACCATAGCAAAGAGGAGCCCTGTCGCACCCCTTTCTTCCCGGGAGATTGTGCAGGTGTTAGACAGGGATGGCCGGCCTGTGCGCTCTTTCCACTGCCGGCACTGTCGCATCCTCTTCCTGGACCATGTCATGTTCACCATCCACATGGGTTGCCACGGCTTCCGCCAACCCTTCGAGTGCAACATCTGTGGCCACCGCAGCCAGGACCGCTATGAGTTCTCTTCTCACATCAGCCGCGGAGAGCATCAGGTGGGCTGAGGAGAGGGGATAGTGGTCGGATGAGGAGAGGTGGCTGTCGCCCTCTAAAGTTGTAGGCTCCCGTTTGTTCTGCACCAGATCAGTTGCTTTAAATCCCTAGCGTAAATAAAAGGATTTGTGGTTTTACAGTGAGAACATTTATTGCACCATTTAAAGTTTAGTGGAGGCAAATTGCATTCTATGATTGATTGCAATCCCTTATAAAATCATCCGGCAAAACTACTGGTTTTGCTTCAAAAGTGCCTTCTTTGGGGATTTCCTCTTAACTTAAAAAAAAACTGTAGGGGAACTGGTGCTCAAAAATCAAACTAGCCATCTTTTGCTAAGTGATTTAGTCAGCACTTTTGAAAGGTTGTGCACAGGCAGTTAAGGTAAGCATGGCATGTACATTTTAAGAATTCTATTTGGTATGCTTAGTATGCACTAAGAGCTTTGTTTTTGTGGTTGAGGTGGGTACTTTGTGTCGTGTGTCAGGTATGCTTAATATGCACTGAGAGCTTTGTACCTCTGGGTTTGGGAGAAGCTTTTGTCACAGACAAAGCACAGTAATGGATTGCCTTAACTCCTACAGTAGTACGCTGCTGTAGGAATACATTGTTTACAGCACGTGTGAAGTCACCTCAGAAGAGAGAATATTTGCAGCTGCACAGTGAGACTATCAGGACAAAGTGAAACTATGAGGGAAATGAACTGAAAACGTTCAGGGTCTTTAGGGCTCAGATGTTAAATAGTTTTTTTGGATTTTAAAGTGAGCCTTAGCATACTGGTGCAGATCAGACCACGAGCCATGTAGTGTACAGTAACAGTCTGACTGAGATGGCCCAGGGTGCTATACCTATACGGGATTGCACTTTTTGGTTCCCTGCTTATATATGAACTTCTTTGCCGAAGCACTTGATGGCTTTACCATTTCCCCCCCTGTGATTGTTCTACTGCACTGATAAATCACATGATACTCACAACAAATTATCATCTAATTTGCAACACCAGTGTATTTTTAACGGAGCCGGCCTTCAACAGAAAGCGTTGCACTGGTTCTGCGGTCTACATTGAAGTCTGCTGCAATGTGTGACGGAGAATCGAATATCAGTTCAACTAAAAACAATTATTTTGCCGTTTTGCACTCAGCAGTTGAGGCTGAGAATTTGAACAATTTGCATAAAGTAGGTGAATTAAAAAACATTTATTTAAAAATGAATTAACAAATCAGTTTCGATCTGTTCAGTTATCACTTGTGCTTATCTATTTAGTGTTGTTTGTTTCAGCCTTGGTGTATTTAATCAGCTATATTCCAAATCTTATCCAGCATATTCCTCAAGTCCATGAAATGTTACCTCCTGCTTCTTTATAGCACCCAAATACCTTATTGCTACAGTATGGTGAGTTATCTGACAATGTTAATATTGGGAACATGAATGAGAACAAACTCAGTATTCTTACTTGTTATTGTGGGTTTGCTGCTTCATAGTTTAACTTCATTTTGATTGATCGCAGGCAAAAAATATACTTGAAACTGTTTGAGAAAAAAGGAATCTAAAAATGCACTTGGTTTGATAAGTGGAGAAATGTGTGTGAATGGAATATAGCATGTGTGCTTGTCATTTTCTGCTTTTCCCTGAATTGTGAATTATTTTTGAAATGTGAAGTAATTTCAAGAAGTGAAAATGAGGCATGGGTTTTTGTCTCCTTGTGTAGACTTTTAAATGTTATACAATATTTTGTGAATGATGTAACATGACAAAACACTTTACCTCAAAGTTAAAGATGTACAACTGCCTCATTATTTCAACAAGTCATGTTGCTTTTCAAGATGTTCTTGCAGTTACAGATGCGTGCCCCTCGATATTCTTGAAACTTTTTACTGTCAATAAAGTTGAGTTTATTGTAAAAGTGATTTTCTCTCGTTCGACTATGACGGCATCCACATCTTTGTGCTTATTTTACAATCAAAGTACACAGAAGAGTTTCTCACTCCGTTTCTGTCTCTTATGTGAAAATACAAAAAAACAAGCAGATTAGATATTGAAGTATTTATTTCACAAAGATCACTCATTTTGAATTCCACGTCTTACAGGCTTTGCAAAGCCTCCCAGGACATTACTCTATTGATATACTGATCGAACACTAATGTGCTTACTACTACAACAAAAATACTATTTAAATGTATACAGCTGTATCCATCAGTCCATGACAGATTTTAGGATGTAAAGAATTGGGTAGCTGCCTGTAATCTGTATGGTATTTTTAGTTAATAATAAGAAAAATGTTTATATTAGATATTACATTACTACCTACATATATTCCAGTGTTATTTCATGTTATTTCATGTGACAAAACGTGCATGCATAATTTCAACAGTATAACACATCTACAAAGGTACACTTTACTGTATGTGTTTTGGATATTGTAATTGAAGCCTCATCATATATTTTGTCTAGAAATGTTCAACTTTAACTTTAGGTAATTGTCCTTGTTTTTACATTTTTACATCAATACACATTTAAAATTAGTTAATTGTCACAGAAGACACATATTGTAAACCTTAATTTAAAAAGTCAAATATATATATATACTGTATATACATATATAAAGTGTAACTGTAATATATCTAAAAAAAAGTATTTCCTATTCTTGCACTGTATATTGAATGTTAAACCTTCAGAGGTATGGGTAAGCAGTGAATAAGGCTAAACTTTATATTCACATGACATTTTAGCAGACTTGTTTTCTGTTTCAGGTGGGTTTTGACCTTTTTTTCCTCTGCAGTGGAAAATCATTTTTGGCTGCTCCTACATATAAATTCCAGGTGCAATTTAAAAAGTGCATAAATATAACCACCCCTCCAGTGAATGACAACATTCAGAAATACAAATCACAACATGTAAAAGCCACATATACAGTATGTACACAGATTATTCTTTCTTACTTTGACGACACACTTGACAAAGTCGATCCACTCATCACCACCCTGATGAAGACAAGACATGCATGAAGTTCTACGATGTGTTTAACATTTGACAGACAATTGTCTAACCCTTGACTGCGGGTGCAATTCAAAACCACTTCTAAGTACAACCGTCATGAGATAAAAAAAATAAATAAACAAAAGAAACAGCTCACTCGAATACCACATTTATGTCGCCACCCAATTTACCGCTTCAGTGCCTTTAAAAACTGTTTGCATTTTCATAAGATGAAAGACGTCTGCTGTGAAACAATTCAACGTACCCAAGATTTTAACCATTAGAGCTAGTCTGAGGATTTTGCACAACTTGAGAAACGTGCCTATGTGCAGCTTTTACAATTCTGAGAAAATAATCTGCTCGCAATCCCTGTGTGAGTTTTAGTTGTGAATTTATAGTTACAAAGAATTGCCTCCCTGACTTCAACAGGAAGCTTTCAGAAGGCATGGTCCTCTGATAGATACTTTTATTTGTTTGCTTTTGCATGTTTTACCCAATTTACAACACACTATACTCACTAATACACAATATCTGTTCTACAAGCATAAAGGTATTTGTTTTCAAAGCATTTATTCAGTCTTTTTGATGCAGCCACAGCTGTTCATTTATGTCTGCTTGTTTGAGCACGTCAGTGCTGCTCTTCTATATCATTGTAAATGGAATATATATTGGGTTTTGGGTTGCTTGTCGAACAAAACAAGCATTCTGAAGTTGCACCATCGGCTCTTTGAAAGTATGATGGGCACGTTTCACCATTCAATTAATTCTTTAATCAAAGAAATTATTGCTGGATGATACATTATGGAAATAATTGTTGATTGTAGCCCTAAAGGTAAGTCTCAGAATACTGTCATTTGAAACAAGTGGCTGCTCAAAAGACTTATAAAATAAATATAATATGTTTTAGAAAAAAGGTTGGTAATAGTGTAAAAACTGTGTTTTGTAATTCTAGGTATAAAGTATAGCCCTTTTATCTCTTAACCTCAGACAGGTAATCATTTTTGTTTTTTTAATCTTCATTTCTGATCATCATTAGTACAGGTTACCATGAATAAAAAGAGTCAACGACAACATGTTTCTGTGACATCTTGTTTGATGCACTGTCGCAGTGTGACATCAAGTGGCCTTGCTGGGGTGATGTTCCACAACCAACACAAGGCAGGATGAATTTCATTTTACTCATCTACCTTCCACTGAGGTCTGCTGTAGAGTGACACGCAGCCACAGTGATGTCACACACGGTGGCAGCATCCGCCATGTCCCTCGTGACGAGCTGTTGATGATGGGTTTACGGGCACTAAACTCAGCTGAACATGACGCCCACCGCCCACCTCGTTCCATGGCTGTTCTCTCTGTTTTGCTGTTGTCGTGTAAGCTCGTTTTGGATACATGAACGTACACTAAACACAGCTGCACATTGTCGACCATGAAACAAAGTCATTACAGTTTTACATTGTGTAAAAAACATATCCATTAATTTGTTTACTTTGAATAAGCCAATTTAAAGTGTGTAATTCGTCGTTTATTCCACTAGATGGCGGCCGTTGATCATATACAAGTCAGAACTTCTCCTCAACGCTGACTTGATCTGATGGCAGGCAGCACTGTGATGATGACAAGTAACTGCACAGTAATACAACACACAACGACTCTCTCGAACGTGTTTAGCTTGTACTTAGTGCAGGTTCTTGCTGCATGTTTCCTCACAATACACATGAAGGTTAGTTGGGAGACTACTGTGGTTTGGGAAACTGAAATTCAGGCTGATATGTAGAATGTGTTTAACAGTCACATTTTATATATTTTATAAAACCTTAAATGTACTCATTTTGAAACGATGGACAACAACTCTCTTTGGTGTAAGGAAAAAGGTATATTGGCTCATTAGTTAGCATTGTTGTCTCAAAGTTGTGGGTTAATATCCTTGCACCATGACTTACTGAGGTGTGTTTGTGAGAAGCGTCCTTCCCTCAGATATAACTCATTAACACAAATATCTCCAATCCTTATCATTCCTTCTCCAGGAAGACAGAAGTCCTCTATGAACAAGGATGGAGACCTTTAAAGAAATCCCCGGACCCCTGGAGTTATACCTGGACTAATGTGTGGACAAAACAGTGTGCAACTCACTTGACTTGCATCTCCCCCTACTCCCCACAGTTCTCCATAAACCACCTAATTCATCTATTTTCCAAAAAGCGAATTAAGGGATTTTCAGAGGAAATCTTCTGGCTGCTAGATAAATGTGTAGCTGGTAGCCTATCAAAATCAGGACAATTATTCCATGAAGCTAATACATCCATTTGTCTTTTAGATGATCCAGATGCCAGAAAAGTTGATGACTAACAGCCGAGGAAAACAAATATGTCTCCCAACTTGTTTCCGTTTCAAAGAAGCTGCTCACTGCAGCTGTACCCTGCATGGGCTGCAATATGCATGTGATATTAATCAATCCATTTATTGTGCCATTTCAATTATAGAAAGAATGTGTTTATTTTTAAGCCGCTGAGTGTCAACCAAGGACACA